GATCCCCCGCAAGACTTGGGAAAGTACACGGTCACCTTTGACTTCACGGAATGTCGGCGCGAGCTGAGCAGACCCGTTTCAAAGGCTCTTCTCATGAACCGAAACCCTAAACCCTAGACCCTTGTCCCTAAACCCTTGTCCCTAAACCCTTATCCCTAAACCCTAAACCCTAAACCCTAAACCCTAAACCCTAAACCCTAAACCCTAAACCCTAAACTTTCTAAACCTCAACGACTCCGACCATCCCAAAACCCTCATCTATCAACCCTAGCCTTGACCCTAGCCCAAGAAGCTTGAGGCCAGAACTAGAACATCCAGTTCCCTCTCTCTGTTGGTGTTCGGTCCCTTGATTTTCGCCCCCTGAAGCAGCAAGGGTTCCCTTTGATTTTAGGTTTGGGGTTTAGGGTTTCCTCTCGCGAGGATGAGGGGCCACATAGAACAGGCTGACCATCTTGGGTGCTTAGGGTTTAGGGTTTACGGTTTAAGGTTGTGTTTGGATCCTGCATGTCTATGGCTCACAACATAGTTTTCATGTGCTACTGGTAGGCGTATTTCCTGTGAACTGGACCCTGCACATCCCCCAATGTTCTGCAGACATTGCGTTGGATGTCGTTGTTGATGTTGAATGCTCCGCTCTATGCCTGCGTAAGCCCATGGGGGGGTTGGGGGCGGGGGTCGGGGGGGGTTCAGGGGCCGCCCACAAAACCCTCTACATCCTTTAGGGTTTAGGCGTTCAGGCTTAGGCCTAAACCCTGAACCCTAAACCCTAAACCCTGGATCCGAAACCCTAAACCCTAAACCCTAAACCCTAAACCCTAAACCCTAAACCCTAAACCCTAAACCCTAAACCCTAAACCCTAAACCCTACACCCTAAACCCTAAACCCTACACCCTAAACCCTAAACCCTAAACCTTAAACTGCCGCAGGCCAAGCCAAAGGAGACGCCGAAATGGAAGTGTCCCAAAAGTGCTTGGGCTGGTCAAGCTTAGCGGCTCAGGGTTCCCGGCCGTTAGGGTTTAGGGTTTAGGGTTTTGGGTTTGGGGTTTAGGGTTTAGGGTTTGGGGTTTAGGGTTTTAGGGTTTAGGGTTTAGGTTTGGATGTTCCCCCTAATACTAGCAGTCCTTAATAGGAATTACACTAGGGGGTACTACAATCCCTACGAAGGACTGTTAGTAAAAGGGGGAACATCCCAAGGTTTAGGATTTTTGCAAGGTCTTAAGAGTTTAGGGCTGTTGGGATTCAGTTGTTTTTTATTCCTAAGTTTAGGTGTAGCGCTTTTCGGGCTTAGGGGTTAGGTTTTAGGTTTCAGGGTTTACGGTGTAAGGGTTTAGGGTTTAGGGGATTAGGGTTTAGGGTTGAGGGCTTAGGTGTAATTTCTGAAACTGTAAGACGAATGGTTTGAGCGGCCCTAAACCCTAAACCCTAAACCCTAAACCCTAAACCCTAAACCCTAAACCCTAAACCTCAAACCTCTAAACCCTAAACCCTAGAGCGGCTCGGTTGTTCAGGGTGGCAGGGTGTGTGTGGCAGCTCTGATGCCCTTCGGGGGCTTCGGGGGTTGGGGTTTCGGGTTTCGGGTTTTGGGTTTAGGGTTTAGGGTTTAGGGTTTAGGGATAGGGTTTTGGGTTTTTAGGGATTTAGGGTTGAGGGTGGGGGAGCGCTCAAATCCCTAAAGTGCAAGACCAAAACCAGTAGACCCTAGAGGGGCAACTTCACTCATTTCCGGTTTGGGCTTTAGGGGTTTGAGGTGGGATCCTAGGTCAAGCATGCGGCATGCCACGGTGGATCGATTTCACATGGAGCCGTGCGCAACCCAAGGCTTAGCCGCTTAGTGTTTTCGTTGGGCCTGTTTTTTGTGCTTTGGGGGCCAGGGGTTGAGAGTTGATGGTTGAGCGTTTAGGGTAGGGCTGTTTTCACTGAACTGGCCCGGAGATCCCTGCCAAGCTGAACCCCTTAGATGACCTCTGGTGCCACACACTTGAGACAGTTGGATTTGCAACTTTCGGTTTACGGCATAAACCGGCTTCAGGCCATTTGGGGCATCTTGGGGCTTTCAGGGTCTAGGGGTTTATTCAAAACTTAGGCCCAAGAAGCCATTTAGGGCTCTAGGGGTCTGTTCGCTTTAGGGGGTTTCAAGGCCCATGGCCCATGGGAGCCATTTTAGGTTCAGGGTTTAGGGTTTAGAATTTGGGGTTTAGGTTTTTGGGGTTTAGGGTTTAGGGTGAAGGGTTTAGGGTTTAGGGTTTAGGGTTTAGGGTTTAGGGTTTAGCGTTTAGGGTTTAGGGTTTAGGGTTTAGGGTTTAGGGTTTAGGGTTTAGGGTTTAGGGAGTACCCTGAACCTCCAACTGCTGCACCAAGGGCTCCAATCGGGAAGTGGGTTCCACTCCCGGCAGGCCCAGGCAAAGGCCAAGCCCAAACGCAAGCCTACCAAGGAAGACGGCCCAGGCGCACAGCCTGGTATCGCATTTTTCTTGCGATGAGTGGCAAAGGCCAAGGCTACGCTCGGGGCCTCTCGTGGGGGCGCGCGGCAGATGGCCAAAGAGGCCCAGAGCAAGGGCAAAGGAAAAGAGAAGGGCTTTGGGCAGAGCGCGCACAGACAAAATGAAGCTGCAGAGCGCGCGTACTACCGTGAGTTCCGCCAGGCCCGCCAAGAGACAGGAGACGACGTGCGCGTCTCTCGCAGCACGCATCGCCGCAATGTAAGGCGCCTGAACAAGCATGAGCGGGCTGAAGCCAAAGCAAGAGCGGCAGCAACGCTAGAAGCAAGCTCAGTCACCTGCCGAGGCTTTCCTTTGCTGCACGCGGCGCTCGAAGGTCATCTCTACAAAGAGCCACCCGGCCCCTGCCGATGGGATTCTGATAGTTTGCCTGGCTTAGGGAGAGAGAGAGAGAGAGAGACAGAGAGAGACACACAGATATATAAATATATATATATATATGTATATATACAGACATATTTTCATTTGTTTGTTTGTTTAATTATTCATCTATTTTTCGAAACTCAAGAGAATGAGCGACTATGATGATTCTAACCCAAAACTCTAAACCCTTGCTGTGGGTATGAAGGCATTCTAAGCCGAAACCCTAAACCTTAAACCCTAAACCCATACTGTGGCTCTGGGGGGAGTGCTGGTTGAGTCAGTGTTGAGGGTTCCTAAACCCTAAACCCTAAACCCTAAACCCTAAACCCTAAACCCTAAACCCTAAACCCTAAACCCTAAACCCTAAACCCTAAACGGTTTACAGTCTGAGCTTCAGGGTTCGCAGTGTAGGGTTGAGGGGTCAGGGGTGTCAGGGCCAAGGCTTGAGGGTTCAGGTTCTGTCTGTAGGGTTTAGGGCTTGAGGTTTAGAAAGTTTAGGGTTTAGGGTTTAGGGTTTAGGGTTTAGGGGGTAGGGTTTAGGGTTTAGGGTTTAGGGTTTAGGCTTTAGGGTTTAGGGTTTAGGGTGTAGGGTTTACTGTCTGGGGCTGAGGTTTGCAGAGGTTTGCACTTCGGCTCTGAGGCCTCGGCGCTTCCGTGCAGGTGTCTGGTGGGTGCCCACTTGGACTGTGCGTTGAAGTCCCTGATCCCTAAGCCTATAGAACCCTGAACCCTGAGCCCTGAGCCCTAAACCCTAAACCCTAAACCCTAAACCCTAAACCCCAAACCCCAAACCCCAAACCCCAAACCCCAAACCCCAAACCCTATCCGGGTTTCAAAATGAACTTGGGAGCTCCCCCAAGCCCCGGAGAGCAACCCGGTTTTGAGGCCCAGTCGCATGGGTCCTGAGCGGTGGAAGCATCCGGAGCTGGTGGCGGGCACCAGGCCGTGTCATCCTAAGCCCGAAACCCTAAACCCTAAACCCTAAACCCTAAGCCCGTCTCTGATTTCCTACCTGGAGTTTCATGGGTTAAGGAAGTAGTGTTTAGGGTTTATAGGGCCTAGTGTTTTTGTTTTTCGGCGCTTCAGGATCTGCTAGTGTAGGCACGGCCCGAAACTCTCCGCCCCTCCCGAAACTCTCAGCCCCTCAACCCTAAATGTAGACCTGCTAGAAGTTTCTGATTGTGCAAACATGTAGCTATGGACGCTTATGTTGGTGGATTCCCCCCAAAAAAAGGTGTCCGTCCACCCTGGGCCTTTCTGGTCCAGGGCTTGTAAACACAGTTATCGGGGTTTACGGTTTAAGGTTTAAGGTTTAGGGTTTAGGGTTTAGGGTTTAGGGTTAGGGTTTAGGGTTTAGGGTTTAGGGTTTAGGGGTGGAGGGCAGAAAAACCAAGCCTGTATCGCCTCACCATTTTACGGTGGCTACTCCCCGAAACCCTAAACCCTAAACCGGGATCCGGACTGTCTGTCATAGCCTCGAGTTGGAGGCAATGGTACGAAGCCAACAACTTGAGCCGCACGGACACAGAACAAGTGTTTGGAGGTCATGGGGCTTACTAACCAATTATAACTGTACTTATAACCCACTTATAAGCCCCTTAAGTGCCCTGATATGGTGATAAGTACAGTCATAAGTACAGTTGTAAGTGGTTAACAAATACAATGAACCTCCAAGTAGGGTTTGGGCTCGAGGTTGGGTTGCTGCATTAGGGCAGCTTAGGGTTCAGGGCGAAGGGTGGACACTCTCAACCCTAAGCCCGAAACCCTAAACCCTTAACCCTAAACCCTAATTCCTAAGCCCTAAACCCTAAATTAAGGCTGGAGTGGATGGAGAAGGGTTGTGGGATTTGGGGGTTCAGACTTGGCCTTGGAGGGCCCTCTGCTTCGGGGGTTACAGGGGTGTACCTGCTAGGTGTTTAGGGTGTTTTTAGTGGTTTTAGGGTTTTTTGGTTTGGTTTGGGGTTTTTAAGGGTTTTAAAGGGTTTTTACTTTTTTTTTGGGTTTAGGGTTTAGGGGTTAATCGATCATCGATGAGGCTTTCGGGTTTAGGAATTGAGCGCTGTATTTTGTGTTTTAGGGACTCCTTCGAAGTTACTGCAGGCAGTGCCACAGGCGTTGCACGTGTCGATGACAGGCCACGTGAGGATAGGACCGTGAACTGCCTCTAAGCCCTAAGCCCAAAGCCCTAAACCCGAAACCCTAAACCCTGAACCCCATGTTCCCTTATGCGGTCGCCACACTTCACGTCGGGCACGAGCGTCTGTTAGTACAAAGTCGGAGCATGGTTTCGTTGTAGGTATAGTTCAGACCCTAAACTCTAAACCCCTAAACCCTAAACCCTAATTAAACCTTTGTTTTTGATTTAGGCAACGTTTCGTTGATAGAGAGCTCGTGGTTCCAAGTCTAACTGAGCCCAGGCTACAAGAGGGGTGCGCGAGACGCTGGTCGAGGCATCAGCATGTGGTTCAGGGGGAGGGGTAGGGTTCAGGGTTCAGGGTTCAGGGTTCAGGGTTTAGGGTTTAGGGTTCAGGGTTTAGGGTTTAGGCTTTAGGGTTTAGGGTTAGGTGTTTTGAGCGCACTAGCTGGCTTGAGACTTGCATCTGCCGGCCGGCCCTCTGGTTTCTCTAAGCGGTCCCCGGCCTTCGTAGCCTATGCAAAGGCGTCGCGAGGCGATACCAATCGACCCAAAACGAAAGCTTGACATGTATGTCCGCGTTTGTTCCTTTTGACTATTGCCGCCGGCTCATATATGTGTATATATTTATCGATATATATATATATATATATATATATATATATATGTATATATATATATATATATATGTATCGATATATATATATATATATGTAAATAAATATATATATATATATATATATGTATATGTATATATATATATATATATGTATATATATATATATATATGTATATATGCATATATGTATATATGTATATATGTATAAATGTATATATGTATATATGTATATATGTATATATGTATATATGTATATATGTATATATGTATATATGTATGTATGACCTAAGAACCTTAGAATCCCATGACCTTCAAGCTCTATGCTGCAGCTAACACACGCTGCCAGCAGCACGAAGCAGCCGCCAAGGCGACAAAAGCCCCTAAACCCTGCACCCTAAACCCCAAACCCCCAACAGCCCCAAACCCCAAACCCCAAACCCCAAGCCCTAAACCCTAAACCCTAAACCCTGAACCCCCAAAAGCCCTTCAACTCCTCAGGCGAGTGGGTCCATGCCACCGGTCCACACGGAGAGCTGCCCAAAGGCGTCCCGAGGTGGCCGGCCACCAAAGCCGAGGCGGGACCTCGAAGCCCTAAACCCTAAACCCTAAACCCTAAACCCTAAACCCTAAACCCTTGGGTTTAGGCTTTTTGGGGTTTGAGGGCATTAGGTTTTTTGGGTTTAGGGTTTAGGGTTTAGGGTACGCACAACCTAGTGTGGCTTAGGTATAGGCTCCAGGTTGATCACGGACCCATAAGGTGGTTTAGGGTTTAGGGTTTAGGGTTTAGGGTTTAGGGTCAAGGGTCAAGGGTCAAGGGTCAAGGGTCAAGGGTCAAGGGTCAAGGGTCAAGGGTCATTAAGGGAATTTCTTATATGGGGTACATTGTTAGGGGTTCAAGTTTGACTCGCTTGAGTTGAGGGGTTTGGGCTTGCCCTAAGCCCTGTAAGTACACGCTAAACCCTACGGTCTCGAGACGTGACCCTGAAGTTGAACTGTTCCCTTCCGCTTCGCTTCGAGGTTCCGTCTAGAACAATGTCAAAAGAAACGCTTTCCCCCACCTACCTCCTGTGTACTCGTTCGACGAGCCTTAGTTTCGGAGTGAACCCAAAGCCCGGCCAAAGCAAGAATCAATCGGCTCACAGCCTTGTGACCCCCCCCAATAAATACAACAGAAACAAATATATACATGTATATATATATATATTTATTTATGTATGTATATATACCTCGTTATACGGGTATGACTGGGGTTGTTCTTTTCTTCTTAAGCAAATTGTAGTTGATTTCATGTTCAAGGCCTCCCCCTCCCCCTCCCAAACGTTGGGGCCCGGATTCGGCATGATACCCTCATGCCGATCTCTCTGAGGCGACGGATCGCGGTCTCTGTGTGTGTGTGTGTGTGTGTGTGTGTGTGTGTGTGTGTGTGTGTGTGTGTGTGTGTGTGTGTGTGTGTGTGTGTGTGTGGGTGGCTGGGTTGCTGGGTGGATGGGTGGGTGGGTGGGTGGGTGGGTGGGTGTCTACACCCGAAAACCCTGAATTAACCCTGAACACCAAAGCCTAACCCTAACCCTATATACACAGGAGCTTTGGACAATTTTGTAGGGCTTGAAGGGATTTCTGATTCGGGGTTAGGGCTGGGCGCTTGTCACCCAAGACCCTAGTCCCCTATTTAGACTCAAAGTGCCCTAAACTCTAGTAGCCCTAAACCCTAGACCCTAATGAGGGTTCAAAGCGGGAAAGCCCTAAATCGTAGCTTCGCGACCTTGCGTCCAGGCCAAATCCAAGAAGAAAGGCTCTTTCACGTCTAAGGCGGGGCCATCTGCTTGCATTCGGTTTAAAAACCAGCTTTAACCTTGAGGGTGCAGTACCCTAAACAGGTTGTCCTTGGAGCCCAGGTAAGTGTATAATGCTAAGGTGCCCTAAGCTCTAAACCCTGAAGCCTAAACCCCAAGCCTTTTCCCACTTTACGGCTCGGCTAAGATAAGCTTCTCATTCTGGGGTTAGGGTTTAATCATGGGGTTGAGGGGTTAGGGTTCAGGGTTTAGGCTTACGAACCCTGGGTTAGAGAAGTACTCGTGAGGCACGGCAGGCCTTAAGGAAAGCGTTTGGCCTGCGCCACGACTTGCAACGTAAGTTTCGCACTCTTCCGCTCCAGCAGTCGCCAGGCATGCGACTTGGTAGCCTAGAGTGCCCTTGTCCCTTTTTTGGGTTCAAGGTTCCCTTATCATTACCCTAAGGGTCCATTTACCTCAGTATCATCTACTTGGGCCCCAAAGTCCCTATATAGGAAGTACTTGAAGGCCCAAGTACTCCCAATTTAGGTACATGGACCCTTAGGGTCAACCGGAAAAGATTGTTACCATATTGCTGCTGGGGCTACCCAGCAGACCAACAGCATCCACGACAACTTTGAAGTCATCGTCACAGTAGCTAGTAATAAATGTCGCAACAAAAACTATTATATACAGAAGTTCATGAATAGAATAAGAAGAATTACCTCCCTCTGACAGTCACCTTTGCCGGGAAGGTATTTTTCAGGGTTTAGGGTTCAGGGTTTAGGGTTTAGGGGGTTCAAAAGCGACAACATGTAGGAGCTTGCGAAAGCATGCGGGCACCTCTGGCTGCGAACACACGGATCCGACACCGCCCCCCCCCCCCCCCCCTTCCCCAGATACTAGGTAATTCCTGTTGAGCCGCCCCTTGGGGTTTAGGGTTTAGGGTTTATAGGGTTTAGGGTTTACGGTTTAGGGTTTAGGGTTTAGGGATATTACCCTAAGGGTCCATGTACCTAAATTGGGATTACTTGGGCCTTCATGAACCTCCTATTTAGGGACTTTAGGGCCCGAGTACATACTAATAAGGTACATGGACCCTTGGGGTTTAGGGTTTAGGGTTTAGGGTTTAGGGTTTAGGGTTTAGGGTTTAGGGTTTAGGGTTTAGGGTTTAGGATTCCCCTACTACAATCGACATCTTCAACCCTCTTGAAAGAAGAAGAAGACAGTCCCTTATTTGAAAGAAATGCCTAAACCCGAAGACCTGCGCCCAAAACCAAAAAGAACATTGGGGGGTTAAGGGTTTAGGGTTTAGGGTTTAGGGTTTAGGGTTAGGAACATGCGCATCGCCCCAGCAGGTCTCTCTCTTCCTCAGCCGCGATGTACAGCGCTCGGCCGCCTCTCCCCTGCGTTTGAGCTCGTAATTCGCCATGGCTCGGGGTTTTTAGGGGGGGTTTAGGGGTTTAGGGGTTTAGGGGGTTTAGCGGTTTGGGGGTTTGAGGGTTTGGGGGTTTGGGGGTTTGGGGTTTGAGGGTTTAGAGGTTTAGAGGTTTAGAGGTTTAGGGGTTTAGGGGTTTAGGGGTTTAGGGGTTTAGGGGTTTAGGGGTTTAGGGGTTTAGGGGTTTAGGGGTTTAGGGGTTTAGGGTGTAGGGGTTTAGGGGGTTATGGGTTTAGGTGTTTAGGAGTTTAGGGGTTTAGGGGTTGAGGGGCTTAGGGTTTCGGGGTGTTGGGGTTCAGGGTTTAGGGGAAAGGGTTTTAGGGGTTTAGGGGTTTAGTGTTGGGGGTTTACGGTTTAGGGGTTTAGGGTTTTTGGTGTGCTTTCGGGGTTTAGGATTTAATTCGGGGGGTTTTAGGCTTTGGAGTTTTGCGTACAGGTAGTAGGGGTTAAGTCCTCGACTCTACCGCATGTTAAGGCCCCGAAGTATATACGACACATGTTTCGGGTTTAGGGTTTAGGTTTAGGGTTTAGGGTGCAGGGTGTAGGGTTTAGGGTTTAGTGTTTAGGGTTGAGGGTTTAGGGTTTAGGGTTGTCTACTTGGGGTTTTCGTGGTACTTATGAACCAATTACAACTGTAGTTATAACCCACTTTTATGCCCCTTAAGTGCCCTAATATGGTTACAAGTACAGTTACAAGTACAGTTAAGTTATATTTAGTTAATAAGCCTCCAAGTCGGCTCTGACCATCTTTTGATATCATTTTGGGGTTTAGGGTTTGAATTCATTGGGCTGTAAGGTCTAATGGAAATTGTATGGGGTTCGTGTCTGGAGTTTTGGGCGGGTTTCGGGCGAAAGTTCAGGGCAGGTTTTGGCGAAAGTTCGGGGTGGGTTTGTATTTATTGCTTTGTTGCTTCTCGAGTTCGCGTCCCATAGAAATTCTGTAGGGTTCGTGTCCGGAGTTTTGGGCGGGTTTTGGACGAAGTTCGGGTGTTGGACGAAGTTCAGGGCGGTTTTTGAGCGATTTTTTCTTGCTTTCGAGATAATTTCTTTTGTCGCGTTGGAGATTCAAGTTGTAAAGGGTTGGTGTCCGGAGTCTTGGGCGAAAGTTTTGGCGGGTCTTGAGCAGGTGTTGGGCGTAAGTTCTGGTTGTTGGGAAAGTTTTGGGCGAAAGTTTGGACCGAAAGTGTCGAGTTTCGCAGTGGACATTCCCGAATAAAAACAAGCGAGGAAAATCAAAACATTCATGTCTTTGTAAACTATAAACTGAAGGACAAACGCTCTGGTTACAAGTCTCTCGAAGCAAGTAGTTACCACAAAAAACGGCATGCGGCTCAACACGAAAATGCAGAAAATCCTACACACATCGCACGTCAGTGCGTTTGCCCGCTCAGGCGCCTGCGGCGCACGCATCATCGTCGTTATCGTTGTCGAAGTAGTAGTAGCAGTAGTAGTCGTCGTCGTAGTAGTCGTCGTAGTTGCGGTCGCGGTCGCGGTCTCGGTCTCGGTCGCGGTCGCGGTCGCGGTCGCGGTCGCGGTCGTGGTCGTGGTCGTCGTCGTCATCGTCGTCGTCGTCGTCGTAGTAGTAGTAGTAGCAGGCCCACGTCCTTTATTTGACGCTGTATTTCTTTGCATGTGGTTGAAATGGAGACATGCAGAATGCGTGGCCAGCGCAGTGAATTCATGGTTGATGCATTCGCGTTGTATTTGCGAACCTTCGCACACCAGTCATTTGGCTACGAAGTGCAAACGCATTGACACGAAAGAGGCAATAAGAACATGAAGAAAAACATGACCTCAAGCGTTTAACCCACCAGAACTTGCTGGTGTCGTAATGTATTGGACTACAGATATTTGCGAAGAGAAACAAAAACTGAACAGTGTTATCTTTGGTTTTACACATTTGCTTTTGTAATCTCAACATCAAGCGCCTGGAGCGGCCTGCGTTGAAGCACAGCGAGGGCTGTCAAGCTGGCCAGGCTTCTTCCAAAGCGTGGTCTGCCGGCGGCGCCGTTGCCACGCTGGAAGCCCATCTGGCCCTCCGCAAAGCGTACCAACACACCGACGTACATTCCTTTGACCATGACCGCCAGGATCGGCGCGGCCAGTTGTTGACGCGGAGCATTGGGCGCAAAGGCTTCGCATGTGTTGTAGCGCAGAGCCTACCAGGACTCTCGTGACTGCCGTGTGAGAGTCCTCCGTCGCAGCCGTGACCCACACGCGTTGACTGTGTCTGGTGGCTGAAAAGGAGGGAGGGAGGGAGAGAGGGAGAGAGAGAGAGAGAGAGAGAGAGAGAGAGAGAGAGAGAGAGAGAGAGAGAGAGAGAGAGAGAGAGAGAGAGAGAGAGAGAGAGAGAGAAGAGAGAGACAGAGAGATAGAGAGAGAGGAGAGAAGAGAGCGAGAAGAGAGAGCGAGAGCGAGAGCGAGAAGAGCGAGAGCGAGAGCGAGAGCGAGAGCGAGAGCGAGAGCGAGAGCGAGAGCGAGAGCGAGAGAGAGAGAGAGAGAGAGAGAGAGAGAGAGAGAGAGAGAGAGAGAGAGAGAGAGAGAGAGAGAGAGAGAGAGAGAGAGAGAGAGAGAGAGAGAGACGAGCGAGAGAGACGAGCGAGAGAGACGAGCGAGAGACAGGAAACACACACACACACACACACGGCGCTGTTTGTGGCAATTACGGCTCCAAGCACATCTGCGAGCACTTGGGATGTCAAGAGTTGCCCGGCCATCAACAGCGGGCCTCAGCTGGCGCGCACGTGTCCAAACATGTGGGGCCAGCCATCCAGGCTCAAAAAGTCGTGGCAACATTGCTGGTGTCACGTGTCGCGAGCTTGGTTCGTTTCTATGCGTTGTGCTGGTTCGAGCTTGGATACCGTGCTGCTCCAGGCCAAAACCTTTTTAGGGTTCATGAACCGTAGACTTGAACCCTAACCCTTTTTTAGGCTTCAGTTCGTCCCCAAAGTGGGTGGATAGGTTCTACGGGAGGTACCCAAACGATCCCGGCGCGCATCATCGTCCCAAGTTTCTTATGTTTGCCCTGCTGATGCTCATGATGTTCGGTTGGGGGTAGCAAGGGTGTGCATCATCGAGGCTTCGTTTCTCTTTTCGGATCCTGAAAGCGGAGCTCAACGGCCCAGGGTCCCTGAAGTCAAGCGGTGCGTGCGGGTTCACGGTCTTCCATGGAAAAGCAGCCGCGGTACCCCCTACGCCTTCCAACCCTAACCCTAAACCCCATACCCGAAACCGGCAGCCGTAAACCCTAAACCCTAACCGTAAACCTTAAACCGCCGAAGCCCTAAACCCTAAACCCTAAAGCCCTAAACCCTCAACCCTACTCGGGCTGAAGGTTTGGGATGACAAAAACTTCGCCGTTTGGGACATCTTGTATTTTCCGTATTTGGGTTTATCAGGGACCCTATATGTACATATGTTTTCCAAGGGGTAAACGGCCAACCTTGAACCCTAATCCCTAAACCCTAAACCCTAAACCCTAAACCCTAAACCCTAAGCCCTGAAAAGGCGTTCAGGGCTTTTGGGGTCCCAACATGCCTCAGGAGAGCCTCCTGAGCCTCAGTGGCAGCCAAAGCTTGCCCAGCCACTTGTCAAAGTTGGGGTTCAGGGTTTAGGGTTTAGGGTTTAAGGTTTAGGGTTTAGGGTTTAAGGTTTAGGGTTTAGGGCTTTAGTGCTTTAGTGCTTTAGGGCTTTAGGGCTTTAGGGCTTTAGGGCTTTAGGGCTTTAGGGCTTTAGGGTTTTAGGGCTTTGGTGCTGTAGGGCTTTAGGGCTTTAGGGCTTTAGGGTCTAGGGCGGAGCCTCCTATACCCGTGACTTGCCAGCCTCATCTGGCCGTATTCGGAATGATTTTTGGTTCTTGGTGTAGTTCAGCGGCAACAGAAAATGTTTTGACAGGGGTTTCGGGTCAGGATTCTGGGTTCATTGTTGAGGGTTTAGAGTTTACGGGATCCCAAGTATTTACGAACGACGCTTTGATTCTTTGGATGCTCTTCCTACTACACATCCCGCGCAGAAGGTCAAGGCACATTGGTGTGCTTGGGAGTGGATCATGCGAAGCGCTGCACAATTTCCTCTATTCAGTCGCCCCGCCCCACCCCGCGAGTACCAAATGTTACCCATATAACCATCAAATACACTACAACGGGCAAGAACACCCTAAACCCTAAACCCGAATATCGGGGCGGATTGATAATAGTAGACAGGCCGTCAGGCGGGGCATGGACCACGCCATAGCATCCTTCGTAACCCGAAGCTCTAAACCTAACTGAACTTAGCGTTTAGGGTTTAGGGTTTAGGGTTTAGGGTTTAGGATTTAGGGTTTAGGGTTTAGGGTTTAGGGCAAGTGTTGATCCTCCTCTCTCGCTCTCTCTTGCGCTCTCGCTCTCGCTCTATCTCTCTATCGGTTTCCCTCTCTCTCTCTCTCTCGTTTCCTCTTTCTGTCTCTCTCCTTCTCTCCTTCTCTCCTTCTCTCCTTCTCTCCTTAGGTCCTTCTCTCCTTCTCTCCTTCTCTCCCTCTCTCCCTCTCTCCCTCTCTCCTTCTCTCTCCTTCTCTCTCTCTCTCTCTCGCTCTCTCTCGCTCTCTCTCTGTCTCCGCCTCTCTGCCTTCGTCAGTAAAACCTCCTTCCCAACTCCCCACTGAAAGCCAGTAAGATCATCCCTTCCAGGCTTGGTGCTCGGTCAAGTCCCCTACCCGCCCACGCCGGCCTTTGTGCGAGATGTGATGCGACGCTGCTGGGCTCAGTTTCGGTGTTGTTCAGGGTTTAGGGTTTAGGGCTTAGGGCTTAGGGCTTGGGGCTTGGGGCTTGGGGCTTGGGGTCAGTTTCGGTGTTGGGGAGTGAGCCTGGAGCCTGGACCCGGGAGGTGGGAGGGGGGGGGGGCAGAACCTGAACCCCTAAGACCCTCAAAGCCCAAGCCCTAAACCCTAAACCCTAAACCCTAAACCCTAAACCCTAAACCCTAAACCCTAAACCCTAAACCCTAAACCCTAAACCCTAAACCCTAAACCCTAAACCTAACCCTAAACCCTAAACCCTAAACCCTAAACCCTAAACCCTAAACCCTAAACCCTAAACCCTAAACCCTAAACCCTAAACCCTAAACCCTAAACCCTAAACCCTAAACCCTAAACCCTAAACCCTAAACCCTAAACCCTTAAACCCCAAACCCTAAACCCTAATCAGAACCCCTTCCTGACAGCCGGCTTTGGGGTTCAGTGTTTGGGGTTGCCCCTCCCCCATCACTCCGGCTTTGCACGGGCTCCTTCGCGCCCGGTTTGGTTTGGGGTTTAGGGCTTAGGGCTGAGGGCTTGGGGCTTCGGGCTTAGGGCTTTAGGGCTTTAGGGCTTTAGGGCTTTAGGGCTTTAGGGCTTTGGGGGTTTGGGGGTTTGGGGCTTTGGGGCTTTGGGGCTTTGGGGCTTTGGGGCTTTGGGGCTTTGGGGCTTTGGGGCTTTGGGGCTTTGGGGCTTTGGGGCTTTAGGGCTTTAGGGCTTTAGGGCTTAGGGAAAATTAGCGGGGGGGGGGGGGGGGGGTGGGCTAAGCCGTCATGTTGAACGTGCGACCTCCTTGCAGGGAAGCCCATTCGGCCCTGACTACATCCTCCAGATAGAAGTTGAACCCAAAAACCCTAAACCCAAAACCCTAAACCCGTAACCCATGTGGTGTTTTCCGAAATTGGGGTCCCTGTTTCAGGGAATCCTAGTATTTGGAGCATATCTTAGGGGTTCCTTGCTTTCGTAACCCCCATGTGCCTGGGGGATGTTCGGGTTTGAAAAGCAACCCCACTAGGAATCTCAGGGGTATGGATCCCCCTACTTGCAAGGTACACCTCCACCACAACAGTGGGCAACTGGGGGCCAGGTAAGCCACAAAGCCAGCGCGCGCCCCGAAACCCTGAACCCTGAACCCTAAACCCCAAACCCTAAACCCTAAACCCTAAACCCTAAACCCCAAACCCTAAACCCTAAACCCTAAACCCTAAACCCTAAACCCCAAACCCTAAACCCTAAACCCCAAACCCTATACAAGGTTGGTGCGAAGACCAAGCCGCGCGGGAAGAGGAAGAGGAGCGGTTGCAGAAGGAAGCCGAAGCGGCTGAGCAAGCGGCTCGGGAGCAGGCTGAGGAAGATGCGCACCTGCTCGCAGATCCGCGCGGAAGCCGTTTAGGATTTGGGCTCTAGGATTTAGGGTTTAGGGTTTAGGGTTTTAGGGTTTAGGGTTTAGGGTTTAGGGTTTAGAATTTGGGCTCTAGGAGGTGGCCCTTGTAGATCGTGCCCCTACTGAGCCGCGCTTGCAGGATACAGGAGCCATAAGAGCTGGACCACTATCTACCATCCTCATTATCTTTGGCGCATCGACTACCCAACATACCCGCAACGGGCCCGTAACGCCCAAACCCTGTACCAATCTGGCTAAACAGGCTCCTGTATTTTGGCGGGTTGAGCCGTGCGGGCGTTCTGTAAGTTTGTGCAAGTCGCCTAAACCCTAAACCCTAAACCCTAAACCCTAACCCCTAAACCCTAAACCGCTGTAAGTTTGTGCAAGTCGGTGGCCCGGCCAAAGTGGAGCTGGGCGTGCCACGTCTCCTCAGGGGTCAAAGAGGCATCTCAGACCGAGGTCGAAAGCTCAGGTGCAACGTTTAGGGTTTAGGGTTTAGGGTTTAGGGTGCAACCCTGAAACCCGAAGACCCTAAAACCCCAAAACCCGAAGCCCCTAAAAACCGTAAAGCCCTACCTAAAACCCGCAAACCCGAAAACCCTAAAGCCCTAAACCCCTAAAACCCCAAAAACTCCAAAATCCTACCAAAAACCCGAAGACCCTATGACCCTCAAACCCTAAGACCCTAAATCCCTAAAACCCTAATCACCTAAAAACCTTAAAAGGGGGGGGGGGGGGGGGGGGGTGGAGTCGAGAGGCGGAGGCTATGATGCGTAGACAACTTCTCGACTCGGCCATTTGAACCTTTATAATCCCTTGAGCCCGAAAGCCCCTAGAAACCCTCTAGGGTTTAGGGTTTAGGCCTTTAGGGTTTAGGGTTTAGGGTTTAGGGTTTAGGGTTTAGGGTTTAGGGTTTAGGGTTTAGGGTTCGCATCCCAACCACTGGAAACCTCAGCGCATCCTGCGCTTGGCCTCAGCTTGTCGTGCTTTGGGCCTCAGGGGGGAGGCGGCCGGTATTGAGCCAGGAGCTTCCGGGTTAGCATGGCCAGGAGTGGTTCAAAGTTTTGTTGTTGTTGTTTTTTTTTTTTTTTGGGGGGGGGGGGGGGGGGGGGGATGGGGATTGCGTAAAAGCCCTCAACCCTCCCCTCAACCCTCAACCCTCAACCCTCAACCCTCAACCCTCAACCCTCAACCCTCAACCCTCAAACCCTCAACCCTCAACCCTCAACCCTCAACCCTCAACCCTCAACCCTCAACCCTCAACCCTCAACCCTCAACCCTCAACCCTCAACCCTAACCTATCTTGCGTGTAGGGTGTTAGGGAAGTCAGGAGTTTGAGCAGGACAGTTGGACCTGTGGAGCGTAAGCGCTTTGGGCTGGAAAATCCGACATGAACGCCCAAAAAAAGGGCTTAGGGTTTAGGGCTTAGGGTTTAGGTTCTGTTTAGGTTCTAGGGTTTAGGGAATAAATGGTTACGGCTCAAGCCATTTTGCTACGAGGCCTGGTTCGAGGCCTCAGTGTTTCCATTGGGAACTTCGGGTTAATTAGGGTTTAGGGTTTCGGGTTCAGGGTTTAGGGTTCAGGGTTCAGGGTTCGGGGACTGTTTAGGGTCAGGGTTCAGGGTTTAGGGTTTAGGTTTTCCGGGTTCTGCTTGGCCAAACGTCCTGGCGAAAAAGAGCCGGACACAAAGCTGGAAGCTTCTGGCACCCTGGCCTGTCCTTGGACAAAGGCAGGGCACTCGTTGAGCGATGGAGAGGAAAGACCGACGATCTCAAGAACTGTAATAATTTCTGTGGGGTTTCTGATGTACCTTACAACACATCGCTGGTTCAAGATCTGTTCAATCGTCAAGGTGTGGCCCCCTAGACCCTACAACGGTTCGTGATTTACGGTCGAAGTTTTAATTCGGCCGCCGCCTCATTTGCCCAAAACACTTTACAGGTGGCTCCGAACTCATGTTCATGATAATGGCACTTCATATGAGTTATAAAGTCTTTATGAGTTATAAAGTCTTTATGCTTGTATAATGGATCAATAAATCAATCAATAAATTTCGGTGTATATATATATATACATGTAGATGCATACACATGATTTTTTGGTTAGTGGAATTACCCCTCCCCTCCCCGAATTTGTGATTTGAGGGGTCAAGATGGTGAAAATTAGGGGGAGAGGAGTACGGTGAGATGACCGGCCGACCCGAGATCAACAGGCTTGAGACCAACTAAGGGTGGTTTGAGCGGGTTCATGGAGGAATTTCCCAGCCAAACCCCATAAGCCCTAAACCCTAAACCCTAAACCCTAACCCCCAAAACCCTAAACCCTACACCCTAAACTCCTTTTCTAGTTCGGCCTCAGCCTTAGCCTGAAGGTGAAGAACTCACTGTTGCGCACCATCCTCCGCCAAGACAGCAGTGGCGTGTTGAGCGATGAAGTCGGCGTTGGCCTCAGCATCTTGGGGTTTTGGGTTCAGTGTTTAGGGTTTAGGGTTTAGGGTTCAGGGTTCAGTGTTCGGGGTTTAGGGTTTTTGACTGTTAGTTATTCCCAACCGCGCATACTGTTGGGTTTCAGCCTCTAAAGAGACGTTCCATTCAAACTCCCATGGCCGGGCAAAACCCACAACGATCCAACCATCCGGAAGGCATCGCTTATGAGTTTACTTGCCGAAACCCCAGGGGGGAACCACCCCTAAGTTTTTACCCTAACCACAATCCAAAAAAATCTCAGCCCACATTTTTCGGGGTGTGGGGCCCAAGCCCTAAACACAGAAAACCCTCTCAAACCCTAAACCCTAAACCCCAAAAGCCCTGAGCCCCTAGACCCCTAAACCTTCATGAGCCTTTGGTGGAAAATCCACCAAACGAAAGCCCCCCAAAATCCACCAAACGAAAGCCCCCCCCCCAAAAAAAAAAAAACAAAGAAACACACACACACACACACACACACCCGCGCGCGCGCGCGCGCGCGCAGAAACCAAAAAGAATCCACAAGTGTAAAGCCCCTCTGCTATTCGAGGATTTTTATCCCTAAACACGAAACCCGAAACCCCAAGCCCTTCACCCTAAACCCATTAAGGATTTCTGGTGCTGCTGGTGGGTGAGCTGGGGGCTCACCTCTTCGACCAGCGTGCCGGGCGCAAGGCAGATAGGCCAGGCCTTTGGCATAGGGCGTTTAGGGTTTTTAGGGTTTTAGGGTTTTAGGGTTATAGGGTTATAGGGTTATAGGGTTTTAGGGTTTTAGGGTTTTAGGGTTTTAGGGTTTTGGGTTTTTTGGGTTTTTAGGTGTTAGGGCCTTTAGGGCCCCTTAGGGCTTCAAGGCTCGCAGAGAGTTCAGGCTTGAGGTACTTGGTTAGGCTTCAAGGTTTCAGGGTTGCAGCCTCTAGCAGGGTCTGTATGTGGGGTTGTGTGCTGCGTGGGTTGTCTATAGTCCCCTGAAGAAACCTCCACCCTAGCTGGATCAAAAAAACTTAGAGGTTATTCAAACCTGAGGAGATAAGGTACCAAATGCGCACATTCCCTACTAAGAGCCAGTAGGCTAACCCTAAACCATATACCCTAGACCCTACACCCTAAACCTGCATAAAACGAATCCATCCCAAACCCTTATAATCTTAGTAGCTGACTGAGCACACTTTACGTTTTTGGGGATACTATAACCCCCTATAATAGAACTGAAAGTGTAGACTTTTGGGGGGCTTATGAACTCAGCAACTAAGGAGCCTTTGTAGGGGTTAGGGTGTAGGGTTTAGGGTTTAGGGTTTCGGGCCAACTTGGGCGTTTGTTCTGGCAGACCTTGAAGGGGTACCTGACAAGGCAGGTGCCCTAAACCCTAAACCCCCCACCCCAAACCCTAAACCCTGAACCCTACCCACCCCAAACCCTAAACCCTGAACCCTAAACCCCAAACCCCGAACCCCATACCCCAAACCCTAAACCCGAAACCCTAAACCCCAAACCTCAAACCCTAAACCCCAAACCCTAAACCCTAAACCCGGTCCGGGGCAGGCAGGAGGCAGAACGTCTTCAGGCGTCGGCGGAGGCACCCTGGAGTTTTCTTGTCAGGTGGGGGGGGGGGTTCAGGGTTGATTAGGGTTTAGGGTTTAGGGTTTAGGGTTTAGGGTTTAGGGTTTAGGGTTTAGGGTTTAGGGTTTAGGGTTTAGGCATTTTAAGGTCCAGGGTGCAGGGCGTGGGGGTTTGAGGTTTGGGGGATGAAGGTGGGGACTGGGAAGTTCGGGCTCAGGGTCGTAAGCTTTAGTAAGCTTTAGGAATCCTTCAGGGTTTAGGGTTTAGGGTAGGTTCTCTCCGTGGGAGACAAAGTCTCGTCGGTTGCGATGTACGTTTTCCTAAACCTTAGACCCTGAACCCTAATGGGGTTTCGGGAGGAATCCTCCACTTCATGATGTTGCTCTTCAGGAGCCACCCAACCCTTTTTAGGCCCTTGGGTGCGCTTCCACCCACCCAAATCAGCTCTTTGGGCATTGCTCCCAAAACACATGGCTAGGGTTAAGCTCTAAACCCTGAAACCCCTAAACTAAACACAAACATCAAAAACGAAGCCATAAGAACCCTAAAGCCCCCCAAAAAAGCCCTAAAACCCGCATAAACTAGGCTTCCCGTATAAGGTCCCCCTTGAAACCAAAAAGTGAGCGCACCTTATTCCGCGGCTACTCCTGGGTCTAGCTAAAGCCGCTTCTGCCGAAGCTGTTAAGCTGAACTTCAAATTGGGTTTAAGGTTTAAGTTTTTGGGAAAAAAGGCTAAAACCCAAACACCGTAAGCCTACAATCCTAAAGGCTAAAAGCCTTGTATAAACGCTAGCGAACCTGAAGAGCAAAACAAGAAAACCCTCAACCTTACCCCCCCAAAGGCGAAAAACAAAAGCAAAACAAAGCAACTATGCACAGCCCTAAAACCTTCAGCAAGAAATACAAAAGCTATATCAAACCCTGAATCCTGAAACCTAAATTTGAATTCTAAACCCGATGTTCCTCTCAAAGATGTTAGGCTGAGGGTCGAGCTGCCACGG